GGATGATGTCCAAAAATAAGATTTTCCTAAGTAGATATGGCAGCAGATTCTTGCTGTATTGAGCCGATCGTCCTGGCCGATACAAAATCGTCCAGGACGATGTGTTTTGCATAAAGACGGTTGCTTTAAAGAGGATGCCCTAATTAGGATTTCTACTTTTGTCAGATCGTCCAGGACGATATAAATATCGTCCCAGACGATGTTACCAAAAATAAAAAACTTTTAGGGCACAATAGAAAATCTTCCAAGATACAAATCATCAGATGCCACACTAAATACAATAGACTCAAGAAAGGAAAAAGATTACAAACTGACACAGGCCTAGTCTACCCAATCTTGAGCTGGTTTCAGATTGCAGTCGATAGTGTGGACCTGAAACGTTAGTAGAAAGCAGTCATAGAGAAAAAGAATGTTTGCTATCATCAAAATCATAAGCCATAGATCCGCAACAATTTTAGGTTACTTTTGAAAATTTTAGATAACATTTTTTCATTATTATCATAGGAGATGAAGCTGCAAATTCAATTTTTTTAATATCACCTTCTCCAATTAGGCCAAAAGGCAAGCTTTTGTAATCTTCATAGTCGACTATTTCAACTAGATCATAATATATATTTTTTGTGCTTTTATTGCTCTTTCCACGTAATCTTCATCTTTTATGAGTTCATTTTATTTATGTGAACATGAAATTTTGCACAACATTAAAACAAAAATTTCTGAGCACACAATATTTATAATTTGATCATAATATATTGGATTAAAAAAACTACATCTAATTTAATTGAGAATATTCCCAAAAAAATTATTTTTAAAATAATAATCATGTGATAATGAATAAAAAATTTCAAATGAATTCATTGCAAAAATTGTAAAGATTTTGGTTAATTGTTAAGAGTCCCAACAAGAATCATCATAGTTAAATTTTCTTAATTTAATATGTTTTTTATTAATATAATTTATAGCTTTGAAATCTTTAATAATAATAATAATTGATACGTCACAAAAAAATCACCTTGATCGGGCACGAATGTAGATGCAAACACAAGTTAAAAACTTATAAATTAAAATTCGGGATCATCCAAGCTTTGAATATATGGAGATTAATTTTAGTAATAATAGATCTAGTTGGGGGTTTGTGACTTTGGGTAATAAAGTCATTAATATGAGTACATGTTTTAGATATCTTGGGTCTATTGTTCTGAGTGATGTTGAAATAGATGGAAATATTATTAGTAGAATTCAAGTTGGATTGTTGAAGTGAAGGAATGCAACGGGCTTGTTGCGTGATAGAAAAGTCCCTTTCAAACTTAAGGGAAAATTCTATAAGATGGTAGTGAGACCTGCAATATTTTATCGTGCAAAGTGTTGGCCATTAAAAGAGAAGCATAATATTAAGTTAAGTGTTGTAGAGATGAGGATGCTCAGGTGGATGAGTGGCTTTACTCTTAGAGACAGGATACAAAATGAGCATATATGTGAACAGGGTGGAGTAGCTCAAGTAGAAGATAAGATTATAGAGAGTCGCCTTAAATTGTTTGGTCACATAGAACGACGACCTTCTGATGACCCGATTAGGAAAGTAGATGTATTAGATCTGACATATGTTAAGAAAGGTTGAGGTAAACCTAAAAGACTTGATTAGAAAATATTAGAAATGATCTTTCTTTATTAGATTTAGATGAGAATTTGACTCTTAATAAGACACAATGGAGAAAAAGGATTCACATAACCGACCCCACAATAGGATAAAGGTTGTTGTTGTTGTTGTTGTTGTTGTATCATCCAAACTCTGATTTTAGCAAGCTTATAGTCAAAATGAAAATCTCGGGGAGATGAACTCAAAGACGCCAGATTCAGTCCAATTTGAGACGAAATGAGCTCAAATAAAATGATCAAAGCCAACTTGAAATCTTGGAGCATTAATTGGATGGCCAACTGATATCCAAACATGACATGTTTAATGTCGAATCGAGCCACTCGACTAGATGAATCCAATAACCCGAAGATTACTCAATTATGACATCATTACAGCACTCAAATTCTCCATAAATACTCTATGATCATGGGAACTAATATCGGTTGTTTAATGGAACACTCCCAACATGCCCTTGATTTTCTTCATAATTACTAGCCATGCCACTTCCGAATAACTATAAATAGCCCTCCATTCTTCACATTATGGGGGAAGAGAAAGCTTAAGAACTCTATTGTACTCTCCATCCAACTCTGTCACCGCCAGAGTTCTTGCCAACCTCCGTCGTCTACAAACTACAGTTCCTATGACTACTATCACCCGCTGATTACAGCCCCTCTAACCACCGTCTCTCATCGATTACGATCACTCTGACTACAGTTTCCCGTCAACTACGATCCTCTGTCCATCATCGCCCGCTGAGTACAGTCCCTCTGACCACCGTCACCCATCGACTACGGTTCCTCCAACCACCCATTCCTATCGACTACGATCCCTCCGACCATTATCGCCCATTGACACCTACAGGTTTAGCATTCAATTCCGTTAGTTTCGACCCAATTGGAAAAAGGTAAGGTTTTGAACTTTTGAGTTTTTCAATTATTCACATATCTTTGAGAAAATTTTAATGCATGAAATTAATTGAGTGTGCTCTAAAATGTGTCCCAAGTATTGCGTGTGAATTTTGGTAAAATTTGATAATGACACTTTTGGAGCGCAACGGCGTTAGGTGTTCAAGAGCAGTGATGCTATACTCAGCCAAAGTGCCAGAAAGTGACATCGCGGCATCAACTCTCGGGTTGTTGCATATTTTTTAGCACCGTAGTGCTCCAATTTGAGCACCGCAGTGCTAAGCCATTATGAACTTATTAAATATTAATTTGTTTCTATTTAATTTGATCATTTGTATTCGAGCAGCTGACATGCATGGGAGAGAAGAGAGAGGTTGGAGAGAGAAAATTCACATTTTGAGCCACTATGGGTCAGCCGTCAACCCTTTGGGAAAGTTGTCTGGATCAATGTATGTCACCTTATGCCTATCTTAGTTTTCAAATATATGAAAGTTTTCTGATTAAAATTATATTTCTGTTAGCGAAAAACACGTATAATTTTACACCGATAAAACTTTCACCGCGAAACTTTTTATATGTTATATGTAATATGATTATGAACATTTTGAGTATTTTATGAAAATTGTATATTAGTTATTTTGGAATTTATGCGATTTTAATTAAATAGAAAATAATATGGACTGAAAAATAACATTGTAGTTCAATAAATGTCTTAAAATAGTATTTTACACTTTCCTTTGTAATTTGGTTACATTTTGACATTGTGAAGATTTACCTAGTAGTAAGTTCAGTTGTTTACCGTTATGCAATACTATGCAACTTTAATTCAGGTTGACTCATTTAATAAACAAGTCGGATTTGGGTCTGAAATTTCGACTCATTTAATATTTTTTTCTTTAAATTCTATTTGCTTGCAAAGTATGATATTTTTATTTTTTATCAAAAAACATAAAATGAGCAATGTATAAGTTATAAAAAAACTTTAACTAAAACTAGTTAGGGGATTAGGTTAAAGTCATTTGGGTTGTTAGTTGGTCGGATTTTGGCTCATCTTTTGACCCATTTATTAAATAGGTCGGATTCTTGTTGATTGGATTTAGGTCATGTCAATTCCGAGTCAGACCCAAACCTCACTCGTAAAACCCATTTTGACAACCATAACTAGGAGAAACTGATGGCTTTTGATCCATCTGATCGCTCTTAACAGAAGGCAAAGTATATATCTTGTGCAAAAATAGAAGATCGCATACTTAGTCAACTTAATAAAAAATTCTAATTAATCTTAGAAAATAAATAATTGTTTTATTAAGTCATGTTATTCAAGCTTTATCATAATAGTGCTTATAAAAATTAATAAACATAGTTAAAAACTTAATTTATTTATTGTTAATCTATAGAACTAATTAAGTGTACATTACTATTAAATAATTAATTAATTAACAAATTATCTTAAATTTAATTGTTATAGTTTTCAATTATAACATTTTAACACTTTTTATATTAAATGATTTTTACTAAATCTTCTAAGCCAAGAATTTATAACAATTAGCTTAATTTACACTTAAGCAAGCTTAGAGATAAGGTTTGACTTAGGCTTTGTTTGGGATGATTTTTTTGTTGTTTTCTAAAGCGGTTTTTTAGTATAAAAATTAAATTTGTGTATTAAAAAATTGCTTTAAGAAGCACTAAAAAAGCCGTCTCAAACGAAGCCTTAACTTATGCTTAGAGAAATACATTTTAATTGTTTTAGGTTGTCTTTGATACAATTATTAATATTGCTTTTATAAAATAATATTATTTTGCTATTTCACTTCTACATATATAAGAACATTTCTTGCTTAGTTGTGAAAGATACTGCAGCCAGTCAGTCAGGGACGAAATCAGCCTCTATTTTAAGGGTGAGCAAAATAAAATTATAAAATACATAATTCGAAGAGGAAAGTTGAAACATAGTGCTTTAGGTGTTGGAGCTAGTGGGGTAGAGAAAGATGTGGAGGAAGAAGAGGAAAATGATGATGACATGGATGATGATAATTATGATTTTGTTTGGAGCAGATTTTTTTTTTTTATTGTTTTCTTTTTAGTATGTCAATCACAGTTTCTATTTGATATTATTTTTTCGTTGTTTTTAAAAATCTTAGGCTAGAAAATTACTTTTTAAAATAATTTTTAAAAGTTACTTTCTCCATAATAATTTTATAACCACCTTAACAAAAAGTTGCAACTAAAAATTCTAATTAATCTTAGAAAATAAATAATTGTTTTATTAAGTCATGTTATTCAATATTTATCATAATTAGTGCTTATAAAAATTAATAAACATAGTTAAAAACTTAATTTATTTATTGTTAATCTAAATGACTAATTAAATGTACATTACTATTAATTAATTAATTAATTAACAAATTATCTTAAATTTAATTGTTATAGTTTTCAATTATAACATTTTAACACTTTTTTACATTAAATGATTTTTACTAATCTTCTAATCTAAGAATTTATAACAATTAGCTTAATTTACACTTAAGCAAGCTTAGAAATAAGGTTTGACTTAGACTTTGTTTGGGATGATTTTTTTTTTGCTTTTTAAAGTAGTTTTTTAGTATAAAAAATAAAATTTTGTATTAGAAAATTGCTTTAAGAAGCACTAAAAAAACCGTCTCAAACGAAGCCTTAACTTATGCTTAGGGAAATACATTTTAACTGTTTTAGGTTGTCTTTGATACAATTATTAATATTGCTTTTATAAAATAAGAGTATTTTGCTATGTAATTATCTAATTCACTTATACATATATAAGAACATTTCTTGCTTAGTTGCGAAAGATACTGCATCCAGCCAGCCAGCCAGCTGGGGGCGGAATCAACCTCTATTTTAAGGCTGAGCAAAATAAAATTATGAAATACATAATGCGAAGAAGAGAGTTGAAACATAGTGTTTTAGGTGTTGGAGCTAGTGGGGTAGAGAAAGATGTGGAGGAAGAAGAGGAAAATGATGATGATAATTATGATTTTGTTTGGAGCAGCTTTTTTTATTATTATTGTTTTCTTTTTAATATGACAATCACAGTTTCTATTTGATCATTATCTTTCCGTTGTTTTAAAAAATCTTATGATAGAAAAATACTTTCTAAAGTAATTTTTAAAAGTTACTTTCTCCACAATTATTTTATAACCAACTTAAAAAAAATTTGCAATTAGGGGTGTAAACGAGTCGAGTTTTGGCACTATCGAGCTCAACTCATCAGTTGGAAGGTGAACTCGAATTTGAGCTCGTCCCACTGTAAACGAGCTCAAATAGGCTCGCGAGCCTCAACGGTTGTCCTCATCGTCCGCGTCTTCCACCTCTAGCAGTCTAGCGTCTTGCCGTCTTCCTCATCTTGTCGCCTTCAATGCTCGTCCCAAGGCACGTTGATGACTTGATGCAACCCCCTCAATCCACACGTCTGCCTTGTGAGTTGTCCGCCTCGAATGCGAGCAGACTCAAATAGAATATATAGGATCAACAAACCATTTAGAATTAATTTTTAAGCGGGATTAGGCGAGTTCAAATATAATAAATAAAATAAAAAAGAAATGTAAGTGGTATATTTGATATTAAAATAATATAGGGTGGTATTCATGTAATATTAAAGTTTTAGGTGTTAGATATATAAATAAGATGTTATAAAGTGGTATGTATGTAAATTTCCCAAAATATTATTAGTGAATCGAGCTGGCTCATGAACTCTCGAGCCGAGCGTCATCATGCTCGACTCGTGAGGTCGATAAGCTCGACTCACGAGCCCATAAACGAATCAAGCTCGAGCCAACTCAAGAGCCGCATTGGCACACATACACCCCTAATTACAACCATTCAATCAACATTGTTAGTCAAGTAGCACACAACACCAACAATGCTTACATAATTATTTATTTAAAAAGTTATACAACAGAGTATACATAACACTTTCAAGACCCAAAAATAACATTTGAAATAAGGAAAATATGGCTCAAATGGGGAAAATTATTAGGTCCGGTCACCTGACAGAGAGATACATCCGGATTTCTTTCTGGCTATTGTAAAAGCGCAGCTGCTTCAGTAACTTCGCTTTAATGTATTTCTCTACCAGGTGACGGGACCTAATATTTTGCCCTCAAATGGAGACACTGTTAGGTATCCCCTTACCGGTAAGCCCACCGACCCGACTGAAGTCCGAAGTATTGGGATAGAGCAAAGTGTATGGAATCTCAACCTTTCCATTCCTATTCTTCAGCTTCTCGTCCTCATTCCTCTTCACAATGCTTCTCTCAATCTCCACTAATCTCTTCCCAAATCTGTTGAACGCTTCCAGCGCTGCTTCTTCTTTGGTCCAGACTGAAGAGTCTCGCTGGCCCAGATAGACCTCATCTGATGAATGTCTTGACAATATCTCTATCAACGAGACCCCCAATATGCTCTGAAATTGCCCTGCGTACAGTGAGATGAGATTTTAGCTCTGATGGAGTCAAATATGTTTAGAGATAAATAGGTTTTAAAGCCTTTAAATTTGTTTAGAGATTAATGAAATAATAATTACTTATCAATTGTAATCATTTCCAAACACACTTAAGGGCTGTTTGGTAGCCGGATTCGAGCGAAATCTAGCCAAACAGCCTAAAATGCAAGTCCTCGTAGGCGGAAAATTCCGCCTTTTCATGCTAAATCTCAGATTTCAGAAATCATGCTTTTTGCTGGATTTTCGAAATTCGTTGGCTGGAGAGGAACAGTCCGCTCATTAAATATATGTTCTATAGCCAAATAGTTACGCGATATTTAATAGGATTTATCATGAATGTTAACAAACAATTCAAGATTTATGAAATCCGGATTTAGCAGATTTACGAAAACCTACTTAAATCAAATCCTATGTGCTACCAAACAGGCCCTTAGGATATGTTTGAGATAGTTGCAGAGTGAAGTTGATGTGGAAAAAGCATTTGACTATTCTAATTCTAAAAAGTAAATTTCTATAATTTTTTTTTAAATAGATAAAAAGCAATAAAAAAATAATTATCAAATAAAATTATAATTATTATCTGAAAAAGTAAAATAACGAGAAAGCTATCCCAAGCATCTTTAATGACTCTGATTGATACTAACTAAAATTTTCATATGGATTATCAAAAAAGCGCTGCTTCTTCTTTGGTCCAGACTGAAGAGTCTCGCTGGCCCAGATAGACCTCATCTGATGAATGTCTTGACAATATCTCTATCAACGAGACCCCCAATATGCTCTGAAATTGTCCTGCGTACAGTGAGATGAGATTTTAGCTCTGATGGAGTCAAATATGTTTAGAGATAAATAGGTTTTAAAACCTTTAAATATGTTTAGAGATAAATGAAATAATAATTACTTATCAATTGTAATCATTTCCAAACACACTTAGGGGCTGTTTGGTAGCCGGATTATTGAGCGAAATCTAGCCAAACGGCCTAAAATAAAAGACATCGTAGGCGGAAAATTCCGACTTTTCGCGCTAAATTCCGGATTTTTGAAATCATGCTTTTTGCTGGATTTACGAAATCCGTTGGCTGGAGAGGTATAGTCCGCTCGTTAAATATATGTTCTATAGCCAAATAGTTACGTGGTATTTAATAGGATTTATCATGAATTCAGGATTATATTTAGGCCCCTCAAGATTTCTGAAATTCGGATTTATCGGATTTACGAAAACATACTTAAATCAAATCCTAGGTGCTACCAAACAGCCCCTTAGGATCTGTTTGAGATGGCTGCAGGGCGAAGTTGATGTATAAAAAGCATTTGACTATTCTGACTCTAAAAAGTAAATTTCAATAATTTTTTTTTAAATAGGTAAAAAGCAATAAGAAAATAATTGTCAAATAGAATTATAATTATTATCTGAAAAAGTAAAATAGCGAGAAGCTATCCAAGCATCTTGAATGACTCTGATTGATACTAACTAAAATTTTCATATGGATTATCAAAAAAAAAAATTTATCTTATTTAAAGAAAATTTTGTATTGGATGTCATGATCAAAAAATGAGTAGGATGATTCTTAATATTTTTAGATCTATTTTGAGAAGATGATTACTATTGTAATCAAAATCAAATTATTCTCCCCCTTACCTGTAATCGTCCTCAAAAAAAGCAAATCCGGGTTTTCCCGCAACGTCTCATACTCCGGCGATCCAAGCTCCGGCATCAACCGTCGACTGATCGTAGGCCGATTTGGCGAGTAGCCGGCATAGGGATACTGGCCGAAGTTCACGGCGGCGTGAAGGGCGGAGGCAATCCATATGACTGTGGTGCAAGTGCGAATAAGTTCTACCACTGTGCTCAATTTCGGCCACCAAGGCTCATCTTTCTTGTCGCCATGGCCGATTTCTCTTAGCTCTTTCCACCAGGCTTGTAACTCTTTGTCAGTGGATACTTCGTCGTCGCTGGTGTAGTAGATGGAAGAGTATTCGGTCACCCATGACTCGATGGCCGACCAGATGGCCAGTCCGTCGACGGCGTAGGGGTAATCCTGAATTAGCAGACGAAGATTATGAGGGCTTGTTGGGTCCTCTACTGCCACACCCCTGCAAGATATTAACTTTGATCATAATTTTAAAACAATATCGCTAATGCTTCATCAAATTAAAAAGAAAAAAGAAAAAAAGTGTCATGCCTCTTGAGAAGATCAGCAGGAAGCCCTTGTTCAGTGAAGTTCCAATTCTGATATACAGCTGAGGACATCTCCATGGCGTACTTGCCGGGGAAGACGGTGGCTTCGAGAATGCCGCCGGCGTTGATGAGAATTTGTCGTGCGAGTGCGTTTATATTCATCGTGTCACGATAGTGCGGGCTCAGAAGCTTATGAATCGGGTGCATCACACTCAGCTGTCGATGAGTAGCTATCACAAATGGCTCTATGGCCGCATGAGTGTTCAACCTGTGCAAATTCATTAAAGTCAACACCTTTTCACCATCGAATGGTCTAAAAACTGAATTTTTATGCATGCATACCAATGACTAATGAGTTGGTGGACGCCGGAGTCGTTGACGGTGGCATAAGCCTTGGCGAGCTGCCAAATGGACTCTTTGACGCCGCCATCGTTGTCGTCCTCCGGCGGAGTGAAGACACGGCTGACGGCGCCGAGCTCTTCGCCGTCTGGATGGGGAAGGCTCAGCTCTATAGCCAGTGGCTTTAGAGTGCTGTCTTCCTGGAGGAAGAGGAGAGTCCTGGTTGCGTATACTTTGTTTGGAGTGTTCTTGTTGATGCGGTTCAAGTAAGGCATCAAAGCGTCATGATGATCTAAGATGAATAGCTTGTTTCTTTTCAGTGCCTGCACAGTGTTAACACTTTTGTATAAGCTTATGGAGAGAATCTAATGAATTCTTTGAAGTTTAAGGACATCTCCAAGCGAAAATCTCATTTTTCACTCTAAAATATAGTAAAACTAAAAAATGACGTGATTCATCTCCAATCGAACTTTATTTTGCAACATTCTACGAAGGTAACCACCTTTCTGCTCTTTAGCGCGATTTTTTGGAGAATTCGATTGAGACAGAAAAATGACATTGGTGAAATAGTGCAATGCCACCGAAAGCAAATAGCGGAAGATTTGGCGTTCGACTGGAGCAGCCGAACGACTCCATACGCATATTTGATATTCGATTGAAGATGCTCTAAGTTCATCTCCAACCGTAAATCTCATTTTTTTCACTCCAAAATACAGTGCAACAAAATAATGGAGTGATTCATCTCCAATCGAACTTTATTTTAACCTCATGGGTAACCATCTTTCTTCATTGTGCGTTTCTTCGCAAAATCCGATAGAGACAGAAAAATAATGCAGGTGAACAATGCGACGCCAATATTGACGTCGCACTATTCACCCTCAACCAAATACAGGAAGTTTTGACGTTCAGCTAGAGCTAGCGAGCAACGCCATTCATGAGTTTGGAGTTCGGTTGGAAAAGGACTAAGTAGTTAATAATTGATTGAGTACCTGTTGGACAGTGAGGCCGTCCAAGTTCTTTTCAATGTGGGAAGCCGTTATGGAGCTCTGATGGTTGCCATAAGTAACTGGATCAAGCTGGCTGCTGGGAGGAAAAGCTTGAAGACGGCTTATGATGACAGGGTTGACACCTGCTAGCATCTCCCGAGCAAATTCTTCATCTGTTCTCCATGCCAACTTATCATCTATGTCCAAGATGAAACCAAATCAGTCAAATCCTAATTTGACAGAAAGATTACTCTTTGATCGATTTTTTGTGATAAAAATGCGTACATTTGATGACTTGAGGCAGGGGAAGTTTAAGAACGTGCTCGCCGTCGGTTCTTACGAGCTCTTTGATCATCTCGAATGGAATGTTGTTCTTAAGATGGTCGAGCGCCGGGCAGTCCGGCAGCCGGAGACCTCCTTCGTAGAGATTGAGAACGTCTTGGAAGGTTTCGAACTGGGTGGGCGTATGGTCGAAGAGGGAGCTGAGAGTGGGAACCAGAACCTGAACGACGGACTTGAGGGCGTAGGCGAGGAAGTCCGACATTTTCAGGTGGCCGAACCGCTCGTCTCGAGGAACGTAGATGTCGAGGCTGAGCAGTGGAAGCCGGCTCTCTGTGTTGGGATCTGAGCAGGAAGAAGAAGAGATATTAAAATAATAATAAGATTTCTTTATGCGAATTTACATATATGTCACTCATTTTCTATGTATTTATATACAGAATACTTTCTTTTTAATATTTTCGAAAAAAATAAATGATATATGTGTAATGTTGATTATCTATAAAAAGTATCGGTATATTTGTAATAAAAAATTATGGGATAATTTATTAGACTTATTTAGTAAAGTCCTTGTAGGAATTTCTTATTTAGTTATTTTTTAGGAAAAAAAATTGGCATAAAAAATCCTCATGCCTTTTTATATTAGGATTAAAATACATAGAATTCTGATTAAATTTAATTTTTATCTATCAAAATCATTTTAAAATAAATACAACACATAATGATTTTATTTAAGTTTATATTATATTCACATAAAAATAAATCCAAATATATTGAATTTCATCTTTATAAAAATTTTGATAAGAATATTTTAAGTTTGGATGATTATTAATTATGGATTTTTTTTTCTTTGGAAGATTTAGGCCAATTAAGCCAAACTTCACATTTGTAAGACTTAGGTTTTATTTGAGATAGTTTTCTTACTGTTTTTAAAATCAATTTTTTAGTGCAAAATTTTTTAGTTTAAGAAATTCTTGTACTAAAAAGCAACTTTAGAAAAACCATATGAAAGTTGTTTCAAACGAAGACTTATGCTTAGTTTGGGATAGCAGTTTTTTAGTACATAAAATAAAATTTTTATACTAAAAAGCTACTTTAAGAAGTAGTGAGAAAGCCATCCCAAACAAAGCCTTAGGGTTTAGGGACAAATTTTTTATTGCTTATTAAAACAGAGCTTTAATAAGTATTGTGTTGCATTTGTGAATTTATGATTAAGTTCGCTTAAAGCACCAACAAAAAATAATTGAGTCAATATGTACCAGACTTGGAGGATGGTCGGCTAGTGCGACCGCGGCGAGGATAAGGGTAGCCCTTCGAGCCACCAAGAACCGGTCGAGCCAAGTCCGGAGACCTATCCGGGTCGCCGAGATCATCATAGAAGGCATAGCCATAGACTCTATCGTGCTCCTTTAGCATGCCTTCAACATTGTCACCTCTAAGATTATGTAGTTCTTCTTCTCTGTATTGAACCAAAGTCTCTGGTGTCTTGCTAGGAAGATAGCTCTGAATAAAATAGTAATTAACCGTCAAAGCTAAGGGTAATCAACATTATAAAACGTGTAATTTACATATTATTATTATTGCATAGCTTTTTATAAATTTCTGTTGTGGAAAGCTGTTTTGACTATCTTAGTAGAGAAGTTGCTTTCTCCATAAAAATTGTACAATCAGCTTTATAAAACATTGCCATTCCAAGCAGACTCTGGGCCTGTTTGGGACAGCTGTAGCTTTTTGTAAAAGTGATTACAATTTACAAGGGTGGAACCAGGAAGAGCTCAGGGTGGACAATTTGACATCCTTGAATTCATTTTTCTCTTAGAAGAGTAAACATTTTAACTATTTTACCTATCTTCACTAAATGCAACTATGCAAATTTTAAGAGAAAAAAATATTTTCTATTTCATGCATACAATTATGTATTTCACTATCCTATTTTTTCCAGCCTTAAAAAAGAGGCTTATTCCAATCCTGAGTGGTTATAAAATTGTTATAAAGAAAATAATACTCTGAAAGCTACTGTAGAAAGCAGCTTTATAGTACAATTTTTTTTAAATACATCGAAAATATAATAGTCAAACAAAAATTGTTGTTGCAATTAAAATGCGAAGCGGTAAAATAGATGAATGCAAATTCGCAAAAGTACTGGGTTTTATTATAAAAGATGCTGTGCACGACAACCTTCTTCTCTTTTAATTTCATAAGAAAAATGAAAATTGAGAAAAATTAGAAGAAAAAAAAACGATTTTAAAACTAATTAAAAAAACAAAAAACAAAATAAAATAAAAAGTTAAAAACGGAATTAGCTGTCTCTAAAAATAATGTAAAAAAAAGAAGTCACCTCCACTCCGTACAGCATATTACAGGTTATCCATTAAAAAAAAATTGGCGATTATATCATTCTGCAATTTTTAATAAAACAAATTATGTAACATAGATATCTTATTAAAATGTTGATCCGATTGACTT